AATCAAGTTGCGCCTAGGAATATTTTTTTTTTCTGTAGTGCCATAATATAAGTGGCCTCGCCCCGAAAGTAGGTTGGATGTTTATTTGGACCGAGGGATTCCGCCTAGACCAGTGCGAGTCAACATTTCAACATAACTACTTCAGTGTGCTTTTTCGATGTGTTAGGGGAAATCCCTAAAAAAAGGCACGTGACGACAACTGTCATTTGACAAATGTGTATACAAGCAAGATTGCGGAACTCGAAGCTCGAGGTGTCTGAGGGATATTGACACTTGCTGATGATTTTTTTTTGGGGTAACCTTATGTGCTTTAAAGTATTCCCTTGTTAATGACCTCTTATTATGGCACAGTGACATACCCACTTGAAGACCTGCCGCCTTAATCTTATCATAATGTTTGTCTACAAGCCTTGTCCACTTGAAGTGTATTCTGTCCGGTTGATGGAGACCTCTCTATGTGATTTTCATATTTTTTCAAATGCTGCTATTCCCTTAGCTTTAGACAAAATAGTATAGTTCACAACTTACATTTAGCGTCTTCTAATCCATTACAAGAACTTTTGATACATGCAAACTATAGTTAAAGATGTCTTGGGAAATTCAACGCGAAAAAAAAAAAAAAAAAACACATGACACGACTCAACAGTGTTCTAAATTTTAAGCTGGCAACCTGTTTCGCTGCAGCCTCCTAAAAAATAATGACCACGAAAAAAAAGTTGTCTCACAAAGACTGTAGGATTGTCCAAAAGAGATAAAATCAGGAATGAGCTCATACGAGATAAAGTCGGCACGGAACCAATTATAAATTACATACAAAAATAGAACATCAACTGTGTGCCCACTTTATTAGAATGCTTTCTGTTACAAGGCATTTACCAAAAGAGGAGAGGGACGTAGAGCAAAAGGTAGACCAAAAACAAGATGGGAAGATAACATCACAGAAACCATACATCACCACGATATGTACATGGTCGAAGCAGCTGGAACAGCACGAAGCAGGATCCTAAATCTCCCTCGACACCCGGTAAAAGAGGACACAAAGAAAAAGAGAAGAAGATCCCTGCTTCAGAGAGTGTAGCTAGAGGCGGGAAAGGAGAGAAAGTGATATCACTCTTCTTAATCTTCAGCCCTCCATATATGTATTTTAACAATACCAAACAAACCTAATAACAATAAAAAAATAAAAAAAAACTATTTTGGATATATTATCCATTTTGCACTTAAGAATACACATGATGTATAGGGGAAACAACTTAGGGAAAAAGTAAAATTAATAGGTCAAAAAACCAAACAATTATTTGTAAGGCCTGCCACTTTCAAAATATGCAACATTTCTGGAAATTGGCTTTTAAAAAGCCAAACTGGTACCTCTATTGAGTGACAGGCTATGAAAATAGTCACTACGCACCGTGCCACTAGTGAACTGACGGCTATCCTCTGAATAACGGTTGGTAAAGATGGCGGCCGCAAAATATCCTTTCGAGCCACATTCACGTGACCTGATTTGCGGTTCTCCGGCGACTACCACCACCGCCAAGGAGTCTCCCACGCCGCTCACGCGGCGTGGATTGGGGCTAAACTAAATGGCTAGGACTCACGAGCAAAGCTTCAGAGATGCGGAAGCTACTGCTCGTGAGTCCTAGCCATCTAGTTTAGCCCCAATCCACGCCGCGTGAGCAGCGTGGGGCTCTCGGGGCGGTGGCGGTAGTCGCCGGGAAACCGCTGAAAAACTGCAAATTAAGTCGCAGTTGACTAGCGACTGTGGCTCGAAAGGATATTTTGCGGCCGCCATCTTTACCTACCGTTATTCGAAGGATAGCTGAACTGACCAATACACGCTCCACAATTGTGATTACAAGAAAAGAAAATTTGTATCATCATGATTAGTTTTTTTAGTCTCTTTAAGATAATAGCAGCAATTGTGCAGTTGTAAATGATAGAATCATATAAACTTGGGAAATCTAAGGCCATATGAAACAATTCGTGTTCATCAGTAGATGCGTTTTAGAGATATTTGTTCAGGAAAGAAGACGAGATTTGAAACGTGCTACACAGTATGTACTACCCCAAGAAAGAAGAAAGAAGCCCCATTGCACATATCTTATCCGCCTGTGGGTTCCGTGGCCCCACTGTGAGGAAATCAAGAATATACCCACTGCCTCCCCAACATGCATGTCGTAGGAGTCGACCAGGTAGTTCATAGGGGTGGGGGGGGGACCTTTATTTAAAGAAAGAGTACATCTGCCTGAAAGGCACGGAACCAACAGTATGAATACAAATAGGAAAGATCAGTATAACGGAAGTGCACTCAACACTCATGTTCTGGAACGATTAACGCCCATAAGTAGACGAACAAAGGAGTTTACAGAGGATAAACGCGAAGAAGAAGACTTATCTTCGATATACACATTTTTGAAAGAATATTTGTTCATGGAAGTAGATATTTATTGCAGCCAACCTGCTTTGTGGAAACGATAAAACACTAAAACCAAAAGGCAATAAAGAAATAACAGTTTATTCATATAATAAACGTCAACACTATAATCACAAGAGAAATACACGCATTAGGCAAATGCAAACATTTACAATGCATCATAAGTACGTTTTAAAAATTAAAATAAATACAGCGCTCACTTATAATAACCTGGTAAGAACATATATGACGGCTGCATAACAGTTTGCAATGCTTTTTAATGTTAACCCACAGTAAAAGTAGTCCACTTGAATAATTCATTGGGCATATGCTTATGTATTGGCATCATTACAGCTTATAGACTAAAATGACTGCGGCATATTGAGAGAATCTTATGTGACAAAGAGGTGAAAACTGTATGCAAAACGAAAATGAATGGTCGCAGACCACGAGACAGACCAAGAAGACGATGGAGAGATAATGTCCAGACAGACCTGCAAACATTGATGTCACCCACTGGAAACAGAAGGCTATCCAGAGAGATGATTGGGTGCAGGTGATATCTGCAGCAATGAACCTTAAGAGCTCGGAATACTAAAGAGGAAGAAGAAGGTATGTTAATGTATTGCAAATAGATACGGTACTTTTAAAATCAAAAGCCATTTTCAAAATAAGGTATGCAATGACATACTTCTTATTTTCTGTTTATCTTTTCCTCTAGTTATTTCATCAATGTGTTGAGGGAGATGCTGTATTAGAACTTGTTTTTCTTTGGTATATCATATGTTGATTTATCTTTTTCCCCGTTTTTCTGAGACTGACTTATATACCCTGCGTTGGATTGCACTGTCTCATGTTTCAGGGACATCAGTTTAAAATCCCTTTTTCCGTTTAGTATCAAGCCAACGAAAATCAATATTTCCAGAGCGCTGTGATGATAATTGACACCATTAACTAATCACTAATAGTATTCAGTATCCTTAATTATCTAATTTTAGTACTTGAGTAATACGCCCACCACTATCAACACTTTTAATAACCGCTCGGAGTTTTTTTCCTTTTTTAGACGTTTAATAACATATGATTAAAGCCGCCGTTGCGGAGCGGCTAAACACTCGGCGCGCATCGAAAGGAGGTGGGTTCGCTCCATGGGGGAGCCGGACTTTAAAAAAAAAATGACCTTGGCTACCAGGTCAACCCCGCCTTGAGTGGGTACCAGGTCCAGCTCTGGAAGTAAAGGCGGCCGGCGTGATGCTGACTACATCCCCCATCTTGTGCTGATTGGTCTATAAAATATGAGTCAAGCCCTGTATGCCTTATACACCTTGAGGCGTGGAAAAGAAACCTTTACTTTCTTTACATAAGAACTGATTATGTCAGAAGTGAAAGAGAAATGAACGTAAAACCCAGTCTCACTTTACATTCTCCAGTAAATACGTAAGCACTTGCAATTGTAAGAGTAAAGAAAAATTAGGTTAATTCGACAATGATTGTTTTCTTCTTCATTTGTTTACAAAGGATGAGTATGACTGTATTCTTTTCATATATATATATATATATATTTTTAATTAGACATAAACATTGCGTTATATTTAACGATATGGAGCCTGTGCGTGCTATCATGACATTACATAAACATTTTAATTTGGTAGGAACCGAATGATGGTTAACATTTTATCGACTAATATATATATATATATATATATATATATATATATATATATATATATATATATATATATATATATATATATACATATATATATATATATATATATACACACACACACACACATTTTGAAAAATAATCAAGAAGTACGGAATGCTTACACACACACGCGCGTACGCGCGTGAGCGCACAAACACCAGTTTGCAACAACAAAACAAATCATTATTCTGTGTGGGAAAGGGACGCCAAGACATCCGTGTCTTGGTCATGCTTTCATTAACTAGTGTTATACTGGAGTGGCTGCGTTGTATGTTTGAAAATTGTATTTATAAATGCAGGATAATTTTTAAAAATTACTTAGTACACGGCTCCAGCAAGTGTTTCAAACGCTGTTTTGGTGTCAAAGGTCAGCAGCAGGGTAAAAGTAACGTTGATTCTTTCACGCCCTTCCCATACACATACTAGGTTACTTCTGATGTTTGGTAGGTCCAGAACCTGTCACCTTGCCACACGCTTACAGGGGTGTTCAGTGATGCCGTTGATATTGCGTGTTGTATATTTCAGAGCACCAGCGCTTTTAACACTCCAACAACATGGAGAAACTGGTCCAAACACAACCCTCCATAGAGAGTGCTGCAACCTAATCCACATGCATTCTTTTTATCGAAATGAAAACGTAAACGCAAGGCATCACAAAAAGCAAGCAACAGAGCGGGACACACCCTTAACCTTCATGAAAATCGATCAGCCCAACAAACTTGTGAATGAAAAGTGACCTACTCTATTTGGGGAGAGTAACGTGAACCTAACCCACGCGAGTACACACACACACACACACACACACACACACACACACACACACGATTCAACAAAGTAATAGACATTATGTGCTTAGATTGACAAGATAGTAAATTATATTTACACAGTTTTAGATTTCTTTGATTTTACATTGCTTGGCCCGAGTCTTGAATAGAATTTTAGTCTGTCGATCATATACTTGATAGTCTCTCGCTCCTTTCTGAATGCCATATATCTAGTTAGCTCAAACCCTTCGTAGATAATAGAGCAGAAAAAGTTGACAATGAGATACTGAGAAGAAACCATCACAACGAGGAAATATACTCGTCCAAAAAAAAAGTTAGCCTCTACCACAGAATCATATTCTGACTCTCCCATAATGAAAAATAGAAGAGTAAACAAAGTAATAGTAAAGGACCTATAGGATCGCACGATGGCCCCAAAGAGAAGTATTCCCGTGACAGCAAATGCAAAAAACAAGATAGCCGTCATCAGCAGCAAGCCATACATGTTTGTCTGGGCGTTGAGGAACGACCTGAAGGTTATCACCACTAAAGGGTTGAACCTGCAAATAAACATGCATATGAAGATTTAAATAGCTTATTACCATTATTTTCTAACACTACATACGAGAAGCTTCAAAACGGATATAGAAAGTTTTCAAAAAAGCTGCAATTGACTTTGGGTTCAGTATTCAGTGTGCCTGACTCGGCCATTTTACGTTATTTTAAAAAATATTAATCACTACTCCTAATTTCCTCATATTACCACGCCAAGTGATAAGATCATACACACACAAAAACACGTTTAGCTTCCGGTCCAATGTTTTCTACCTTGAACAACAACACATTATGACAGAAACGAAATCAAATTTTGTTTTTAAAGCGCGCTAAAACGATCTTAAGATGCGAAAATTTGTAACATCCAAAGATATAAAACACATTTTAGTTTCTGGATATGTGTATATACAGGATAATAGATCATATTTCATACATACATGAAAAAGTACAAAGTTTTTGGCGAAACTACAAGTGAATAGAGACTTACTGAAAAAATCAAAATATATATGTATATAAATATAAATAAGGAAGCAATTGAAATATTTGGCAACATTAAAAGACCGACCTAACACTCTTTTAAAAAACATACCTAATGAAAAGGTCAAGGGCTACACGTAGACAACGATACAAGTGGGAGGATAACATCAAGGGATGGACGACCATCTGAGAGTGTTTAACTAAGACACGAAACAGAGAATGTCGAAGATCCATTTCAGGACAGCTTTGTTCTGGAAACGGTACGTGATTGATGAATTTATTTTCGGCTCCTCGCCCAATCCCTATTATGTGTACATTATCACAACACACATTGTGATTACTTACGCTGTGACTTTCAACATTTTGAAAATGACGACACCACCCAAAACTGCCAGGGCTATGTGTAGATGTTCGTGCATCTGAAAGACAGCCTCGAAGTTAAGGAAACGCGTGTGCCCGTATTTTTGAAAGTCCTTCAGGATCTCCACAAATTCGTAATATCTCAAGAAGAAGATTATTCCTACAGCACACGTTAGAATCACTGTAAACATCTAGGGCCGTGGAAAGGAAAAAAAAAAGCGGAGAGAGAGAGAAGGGGGGGGGGGGGTGGTTAAAAAAAGAGAAATACATGTACAAACGTAGTCAATACCAGTGTTTCCCAAACATTTCTTAGTCGCGGCGCCGTTATTATTTTTTTTTTTTTTTTCAATTACAATTTCCCACAGCGTCCTAACCTAAGTAAAAGTATGACGATTCGAATGTAAGTGATTAAAAAAAAAAATGCATGTATCTTAGAATATTTTGCGGCGCCCCTGTGAAGAGGTCGCGGCTCCCTTGGGCGCGCGGGGGACAGTATTTACATCACCGGTCTATACAATATGTGTATCTTCTTGCAGAGTAAACGTAAAATGACCCTTCTCATTGCCTACAGACGTATTCGGCATATAAGGTTTTATAGACCAACTGCCTCGTTGGTGGTCCATGTGGTCAGCACCACACCGGCTGCCTTTACTTCTTAAGACTGTCACTGGTACACACTCATGGCTTGGTCGACCTGGCAGCATCATCATCATCATGTGCCCTGCCAAAACCACGACATTTTCGATCCACAACCCCCAGCCCCCCCCCCCACCCCACCCCTTTCCCCTAAATTTATCCTGCAGAGTGCCATGAGCATGTGTATTAGGAAAGTCCCCACAATGCATTTTAGTTTCATATATATATATGAACTCGGGACACTCCCATAAGTGCTAAGTCCCCATTTTCAGTACCAAGCGTAGAGTTCCAATTTGTATTGTACCAGTAACCGTCTGATTGTATATCTGTCTCATCCTTCATCTAAGTGTTGAGCATCGGTCAGATCCCCTGGCAACAAGAAGAATACACACACTGTTCTTTTGCCATGTAATGAGAATAGAGGCATTGAAAAATATCGTGACAACCGTGAAGATCACTGGAAAGAGTTGTAGATGCAGACCGAGTGAGACGATGATGGACGGACTGAAACTATGGCATGTAGAGAAATCATGAAGACAGCTATTCCAGGCAACCAGGGATCGTGGTTTGTGAAGATGCATGAGCGCCTCTGCCAGTTGGCAGGGCACATGAGGATGATAATGCATACATATACATATATACCGTTAAAATGATAGCATGTACTACTCTCCCAGCATCGAACAATCTGCCGAAACCTCTCTCACTTTCATTCTCATGCGTGATATTGTGACATTATGTACAATGCTTTATTTCCTTAAACAATGTCCACTATCCTTTATAATGAAACCGCATCCACTCATTTCACCTCTGAATACCGACTCCTCCGTGTGTAAAATGCTGTAACCTGGACATCAATTGTTCATTGGTTTCAGTGCATCAAGTGCTAACAATATGACTGTTACGTGGCGTGACTGTTATTTGCGATTTTTTTAAAACCACTTTTTTAAAAGAGAACTGTCTTATCAATCCGCTCACCGCAATAATGGACCCTGGTAAACGTCACGAACTGCAATGAAAAGATGTCACCATCCTCTAAGCCACGGACTCGCACCAGTATGCAAACACCATCACAAACAGTTAGGTTAAAAGTTGAAGTCAAGTGGATCGATTTAATTGTACCAGCTTTTATTCCATAGGGCTCGGTCTATCTAGGCAGAACACCAGGCCACATTCAAGAACTCCGTGGCTCCGGCGACGATCACTGAAATCTCAGTAAAAGCTTTAGTTGTGAAGTGAACAGCGTAGCCGTGAAACGAAATCACAACATTCAGAGCGTGACTACTTCACCACGGATACCCTCTATCATAAATATTGTTTGTGGAGAGCCATTTTTATTTCCCGCAGATACGACCATGTTTGTTCCTATGCTTTTCGATTCTGTGTTAACAACACAGTCTGTAATCGGAGCACTCAAACTCCGCTATCCTGATGAGTATCTAGATGTCTGCCGTTTTTCATGAGAATGACATATAGAGTAACAATGTGTTTTTTTTGGTGAAAATACTCAACCCTGTCCTAAAAATAGGACCTTTTTCGCATTTGTAAAATTAGTTAATACTAATACACTGGAGCCAGAAATGCTTTGACAGAAGCATGAATGCAATAAAGATATAACCAAGGCACGAAGCCACTCGTATTGACGATATTCTTGCAGAGGCCAGCAAAGCAGCGTGAGAAACGAGCTAAATGGGTCAAACGAATTTTCCAGTCTGCCTGGTTAAAACCAGAAACACCAGATGATTGGCAAACAGCAATAATTATACCGATTTGGAAAAAAAGAAGAAAGAAAGTGTGCACTAATTACAGAGGAATATCACTATTGAGCCCAAAAAAAGGAAAAAGTATGCCACATTAACTGAAAGAAGACTAAGACCATTAGTAGAAAAACAACTTCCAGAAGCCCAGATGAGTTTTAGACTAATAGAAGCATCACAGACGCAATACCTGTATTTAGGCAGTTGACAGAAAGAGAAATACAGTATGATAAGACATGCAAAGTCGCATTTGTAGATCAGGTAAAAGCATTTGACAGGGTGGATACGAATATGTTGTGGAATTGCTTAAGAACATATAGAATCAGCAAACATCTAACTGAAGTGTGTAAGAACATATATACATCCAAAAAAAAAAGCTGCATGCGAACAAAAGCAGGTACATAGCAAACCTTTGAAATAAATTCAGAAGTAAGACAGAGAGGTGTGCTATATCCCTTGCTTTTTATTACATCCATGGACAATGTATGCAAAGAAGCAGAGAGCGAAGAAAATAATGTTATCTAATAATTTATATTGCATTGTTAAGACAGAGACGATCGCAATAGGTAGACAAGAAGAAACCATATAAAAAAAAAAATTACCACAGAAATAAAACAAACGAGTGAATATAATTGTCTAGGGTCACTTCAGATGGAAGAATGTATAGAAATCAAAATACGATGTGCGGAAGCAAATCAGGTTATGGGACAATTTCCACTGCTTCTGACGCATAAAAAAGCAAATTTCATAAGGGATTCTTTGGCCCAAAATGTTGTTACTAGTGCCAGTCATGGACCCTTGGTACAACTAATAAGCGAAAGATTTTAACAACAGAGATGAGATTTCTTAGGAGAGCTGCCGGCGTGTCAAGAAGAGATACAATCAGGAATTAGGAAGTTAAAAAATGACTAGGACTGAAACCAGTCACGCAGTTAATTAAAGAACAGCAAGTGAGGTAGTCTGTCCACCTAATGAGAACGTCCTGGTACCTACTGCCAAAGGGAGCCACGCTGAAGAAATACAATGAAAACAGAGGAAGGGGAACACCACGCAAGACATGGAGCGACATCATAAGGACCAACCCTACAGAAGTGAACACCAACTTGTACAATGCATTGGAAAAAACAAACAAACGATCCTTACATCTCTCCTAACACCTAGCTGGGGTGTGTGGTGGAATAGAAGAAGAAGAAGTAAAATTAGTTTTGCGACTATCTAATCAGACTGTCTCGATAGGTTTTTCAGTTGCAAAAGATTTTTTGAGATTGTGGCTTTTACTCAAGAAGGCCAGGGATTTACTACTTTTGAAACTCTATTACTGAAGAGAAAAGACAATGAATAACACTGGTAATTAGTTCCGACTATTGTTACACTGGATGAATTAATGATAACCCTGCCACGTAAATTATACTTTTTTCGAAATCCATTGGTCGTAAAAAGTGTATTTTATTGCATTTGTCATTCCAACCCAACCCACCCCCCTCCCCCCCCCCAACCCCCCCCCACCCCCCCTTCCCTCCCCCCCCCCCCCCCTTCCCTCCCCCCCCCCCCCCCCCCCCAGAGGCAGTCTTCACAATCAGGGTTAGCAGTTGCAAGTCAACTGCTGTGGAAATACTACATGGTGAAGTACAAATGTCTTCTCCGGTGCAATTCTTGTCTTAGCTGAAATGGCTGCTTATATTTAGTGTATCTATTTTACGCAACCATTAGGATATTTCAGATCATGACCCGAATTCCCCCCCCCCCCCCCCCACACCACCACCGTCCACCCTAATAAATGTAATTGCATGTGTAATGTAATTAATGCTGAATGCATCATGACAAATTTGAAACACCACTACAAGTTGAAAAAAAAAAAAAAAAACTAAATGAATATTTTACAACATTTAAAAAATCTACCTCTGAGAAGCGCCAGAAATTTCCCACGTATTTCCTGAAGCTCATTTTGCGAAAATTTTGAATTTCCACAAATGTGTAAAACAATGTGCAAATGACCATAATTCCCTGAAATATATTTCATTGTAGAAAACGAATATAGTACGCATCGTCACTATATATATATATATATATATATATATATATATATATATATATATATATATATATATATATATATATATATATATATATATATATATATATATATATATATATATATATATATATATATATATATATATATATATATATATATATATATGAACTTTGACATATCTTAATGACAATGAGATTTACAAATTATTCTAAATATAAACCTGCTCTGAAATTATAGTTTAAAAAGTTACTACCTGCAAAAGGCGAAAAATTGATGGATTGAGCTCATGTTCAAAAGTTTACAGAGGAAGGAGTGTAGGGGATCGTAAAGACGTGATGAGGACATCTGTCAGGAGATAGTGTTATATTGTGTTCTAACTGTGTTAGATAAAGCAAGTTTAACTATAGAGACAAAGGTGCTTAAAGTATAATTTCAGTTTACTTATTTCGTAAAGGAACTACAAAGAAAAACATTCGGACACTCACTGACAAGGCATTAATAGGTGTTAATAGCTTGAGCAAAATATGGAACTCTGAACTGTATAGTTTTTAAACCAGCTTACGTGTATACAGTGCTATTTTTTTTTCAAATTAACTTTAAGCTAAAGAAATGGACGATGGCTAACTGCTTTTTAAAACAAATATTAAAGGAAAATTTTGAAAAATTTGCGTTAAATTCAAAAGCAGTGCAGAACTAAGAATAATGTCTGGGCAGCCACTATTATTAACAGTTCTAAGAGAGAGAACATGGTGCTACACTGGCCACATCCTGGAAAGAAACCAGCAGAGAATTACTAAACCAGCCACTACGATGGGAAATAAAAGGATTAAGGAGGCGAGGACGCGCAAAAGAAACCCTAAGACGAACATCCATGAGAGAAGATAAAACTGCTGGACTGGATTATATTCATGATATCGAGCTGATGGCAGAGAATACAACGTAATGAAGGAAATGGATGCAAGCCCTATGTAATATGTATTAGCGAAACAGGATATTGAATAAATGAATGAGACGATTGTGTTGAAATGGAACACGAGAATCGCAGCTGATGGCGAGTGTTGCTAACAAGATCTGCTCGCTTTATTGCAATCTTGTGAATACAATGTGATAAGCTGTCAACCTATCTACATTCATGTTCGTTAGCGTCTGTGGCTAAAGGGTTGCGAACGCGATTCGATTTGTCTTGCGCTGGTCTCGACAGTGGTACCAAGAGCTGGCCGTTCAGGGGCAATGGCAAACTACTGAACGTAAAATTTGCCAAGAAAAAACCACAACAATAAATGCTGGGATTGGTTCTACAACGTCCTGTAAACAATACGCAACGAACTTATGACAAAACACACTGATTCAAAGCAAACAATCAGCATGCTTACTGTAATTTGAGTAAATTAAGAAAGGGGGACATCAAAACATAAAATGTCAAGATTGTCATGGTCGTCCAGCCATTGCCTTCCCTGATTTGTTAGTTGAAGAAAACTTGCCATTGTATGCTGGATAAGCCAGCAAAACATTATGTAAGCTGCACATGTAAACTGATTTCCAACAAATGTCCATGCATATGTCAATTACTGTTTATATTAATTTTTTAGGGATGCATAAATGATTATTGAAACACAGATTTTTAAAAGTGAAACTGTAAGCTCTAAAATTATAAGGGCTTGAGAAATCTATAATAACTATTTTTCAGCTGGTGGCTCATCGCGGCTATCTCCTTTACCGCAAAGTCTTGAAAGCGCAGCGCATTCACTGTGTCTGCCCGTCCATACTTCCCCCTCAACCAGCTATCACATCGACGGCATATGAGTGAGTATCCTTAAGGAAACTGTTGTGAAAATAATTGTGTAAACATACGTAATTTAGAGGTACTCACCTCACTCAGCTGTAGCCAAAGCGGTATTTTCTCTGCTTCGTTTAAGAGATTCGCAGAATTGATGAAGGCAGAAGGATATATTACTCCAAAGTTGGCAAACTCAAACGCAATAATTACATTTGTGAAATGATCGGACGCAGCATTGTACAGTGTGAACTCCACAAATATGCATCTGTGTAGGAAAAACGCAATATGTATGTGATGCATCGGGTAATGATCATTAAGGTGGGGGGGGGGGGGGGGGGTGGGGGTGGATGGGAGATTAGGCTGTTGTTACTGTTTTGTTATTTGTTAAAATACGCATGAAATTTCTTTAAAATTTACAGAGAGCGATTTATAATTATGAAGAAGAACAAACATTACTGCACTCACGTCGATCATAGAAGTGGAGCCTATGGAAATGGCAGATTCGAAAATCTGTGTGCCTTTTTATATTTTACATTGTCCAGTTTGTAATTTAAACTTAAATGCATGTGCCCTGTGCTCAAAAATCATACCAGCCACATAAACTTGGCAGGAAATTACGCATTTTTTTTTTCTAGACTAGGTCTACATTGGAGATCAGGTCTCTAAATAAAATAACCCAAATGGGTATACTGTTATGAAAAATATAGAATAGCAAATGTCAACATTATGCCATGTTTGCGGTGAGGTAATCACAGTTCAAACTTCGTAGCCAACCGGTCATCCTTATAACTGCTTCGTTCCTGTACCATCGAAACGACACAGATTGGCTATTATTGTCCCTTTTATAAAAAAAAAACTTGCACAGACCACAGTCACAGCAAATTCGGTAGTATACACACGCATTAAATTCACAAGGCAGCCGTCATAAGTGCCAGCATTCTATCACTTCATGCGCTTTGGTCAATCACTATCACATTATATATTGATAGTATAATCATTACACATCTCTGATTCTTAGTTGTAAAATAGAGATGAATCGGACTTTTTATCATTTTAATAAAATATAATAGTGTAGTGATAAGAAAAAGAGGAATGTGTAGGGGTTTTGATTGGTTGTTACAATCAGGGAAACCCTAGGATGCAAGAGGTGAAGTCAGCACGATAGAGTAAAACTTCGTTAATGTGTGTGAACTTTATAGCAGCAACGGATAAATGGGAGAATAGCAGAACAGAGATTCACTCAGAGAGGGAGCCCCAGAGCTGGAGACTGTGAATGCCGATCGTCTGCGTCAAAAGCTACGCTGAGAGAAAGTCAATGCTGCTGTGTTACGACAAGGGACGTTGAGGATTCGGCTGTGTGCAACAAGGATGAACGAATAAGTGCCATTCTGCAGGAGTTGCGGAGTTGATTGAATTTGGCTGCATTCTTGTTTACTGTGTGATCATGAGACAATGACCAGATTCCTATCACAATAAGTGAAACATTGCAAATAACATACATCAAAGAGTAATCTTGGCAACAACAACAAAAAGAGAATAGGAAAACATGTTCCCAAAAACATTATAAAACATACGTCAAAAGAGACAAAGTGAGACCAAGAAAATATTTTCCTAACGACATTACATACCATACGTAGCATTTATGCAACGGTAGGACATAAAATGACGCCGGGGAAAAAAACTGAAAAAAAAAAATAGGAAAATACAGGCGGGAGGAGGAGAGTGGGATGGGGGTGGTAAAAAAAAGGGGGCGGGTGTGTTAGCAATGGCAAAATCTTACTGGAACATAGCTTTCACGCGACGGTAGGACATAATAATAATATAGGGGAGGGAGGCGGAGTAAGCAACAGTGGGAATAAACATGCAGAAAAAAGGGGTGGGGGGAGGGAGTCGCAATGACAAAAGCATACATGGACGTCTTACAGACTTATCTGCAGTCTAGGAAGTGTCTCGAATTAGTTCTTGGTGGAGGATTTGATCATTTGACTTCAACCCTGCCTTCCAACTGAGCATCTTAATAAGTGGATCTTGCAGAGTCTTAATGCAACAGCTACACAAGTGTGCACTGCGGAAATGCAATGGTACTAGACAGATACACATAAGTGTCCTTTAGACAAGAAAATGAGCATTTCAATTCAATTGTATACTTTGTTAATTGATCAATCCAGTCTGAGTTGCAGAGTTTGATGAAAGCATCGTCAGTAGCTTCCAAATCATCTTGACCAAACGTAATGACATATCCACCACCTGAGTAGACACCATGTTGGCCTAAAGAGATGTTGAAGATATAAAAAAAATGTGCCTGAAGTCTCAATTTTTACAGTTAACGGAATATGTTTTCATAGTAAAGGGAGGGACTTTTTAAAGAAATGCTTCTATCATTTGAAACTAAAGACCACATCGATGACAGAATATACTAAAATGGTATTTGAAAAACAATGATACTGTGTAGACATTTTACCTATGTACTAAAACGTCTACAACTCAAAGAGAGCCACCGTGGCGTTGCAGCTAGAAGCTTGACTGCGGATCCGAATGCCATCGGTTGAAATCCGAGCGCTGCCAAAATTTAATCAATGACATTGGGTCATCAATGACCTACGCTGAAGTGAGTAGCATAATGAAGTCCTTGAAAGTAAAGGTGATCGGTCGCCATGTTGACCCACATCACAAACCAAGTGCTGATTGGTCTATACAATATAAATCTAGCGCCATACTCCCAATAAACCTGACGACATGTAAGCGAGCCTTGACTGTTACCTCTACGTCAAGGCACCAGTCCATGTCCAAGCAGTTAACCTCCACTCTACACACCAGGGCTCTTTGGCCACACGCTAACAGGTCTAAGAGTCTTACAAATGATTAAATAACAAAACACATAAAAGGATTTTGAGTAACAGTTCGGTAATAATTATTATTACCATTTAAAAAATGTAAAAAAAAAAATAAACAACAAGTTTTAAAAATTGTGGCACAGGAACGCAGCAATTTTGGGACGACCCGATTGCAGTGAAGTTGAAAACTCGACGAAAAAAAAGAAGAGAGAAGAAGAGAGAAGAAGAAGAAGAAGAAGAAGAAGAAGAAGAAGAAGAAGAAGAAGAAGAAGAAGAAGAAGAAGAAGAAGAAGAAGAAGAAGAAGAAGAAGAAGAAGAAGAAGAAGAAGAAGAAGAAGAAGAAGAAGAAGAAGAAGAAGAAGAAGAAGAAGAAGAAGAAGAAGAAGAAGAAGAAGAAGAAGAAGAAGAAGAAGAAGAAGAAGAAGAAGAAGAAGAAGAAGAAGAAGAAGAAGAAGAAGAAGAAGAAGAAGAAGAAGAAGAAGAAGAAGAAGAAGAAGAAGAAGAAGAAGAAGAAGAAGAAGAAGAAGAAGAAGAAAAAGAAGAAGAAGAAGAAGAAGAAGAAGAAGAAGAAGAAGAAGAAGAAGAAGAAGAAGAAGAAGAAGAAGAAGAAGAAGAAGAAGAAGACGAAGAAGAGGAAGAACAAGAAGAGGAAGAAGTTAAAGAAGAATTAAAAGCAGAAAGAAGAAGATGAAGAAGAAACAGAAAAAGAAGTAAGAAGAAGAAGAAGAAGAGGAATGAGGAGGAGGAAAAGGAAGAGGAGAAGAAGAAGAAAAGGAAGCAGGAAAGAAGAAGAAGAAGAAGAAGAAGAAGAAGAAGAAGAAGAAGAAGAAGAAGAAGAAGAAGAAGAAGAAGAAGAAGAAGAAGAAGAAGAAGAAGAAGAAGAAGAAGAAGAAGAAGGAGGAGGAGGAGAATGAGGATGAGATAGAGAACGAGAAAGAGAAGAAGAAGGAAAGAAAGAAGGAGAAGGAGAATGAGAAGAAGAATAAGAAGAAGAAGGAGAAGAAGAAGAAGAAGGAGAAGAAGGAGAAGAAACAGAAGAAGGAGAAGAAGAAAAAGGGAAAAGAGCAGAAAAAGGAGGAGAAGAAATAGCTCAGTTGTGGCAGTGAGGAGGGTGGAGGAATAAAAAAACAGTAGTGTCTATAACAGTTTTGATACACCCAGGTAATAAATAAACAAAAAAATTACTTTTGAGATAGCGTGACAATGAGCCACACACACACACGCACACACACACACACACGCACACACACACAAACTACACAGTTACAACATACTGAATCCTTAGAGTTTACTGAAGTATATAAGATAATTTAAGATCTTTAGACACTAGCTTCACTCTAATTGCAGTGATTGCTACCGCTCTTATTTTCTTCACCCCTACCTCCCTTGAATAATTTTTGTTAAAAATAATTTTTCCACTAAGGATAAGAATGTTTATGCCAACAGATGGATGTTATGACTGATTTTGACATGATAAATTTGCATTGACATACATATTTCTGGCAATAGCCATCTCGCAAGCAACGCCAAAGTAGCTAGTGTGGGATATCCGCAAGAGGGAGAGCGGAAACAGTTGGTACAAGCATAGCATACCTATCACAATAGCACCATTTAATTCTATAGAACTTCTATACACGTAGGGAGAATCATCAATAATATCTTTGGATGTGTTAGACAATTCCTTCCAAGTATAGTCATAGGTGTTGGTTTCTTCCGATATATAGAATGATGAGAACGAGCATGTCTCCTCGAAGAACAGACGTCCTAGTGCAGGAGGTAGATTTGCACATGCATCTGTGTATGAAAATAATTTCGAAGTTAATCAAAAATTATACACAAAACAGTTCTTCGGATTTGTTAATTGGTGTTTTGTCCTTTTTAGGACGAATTTTTTGTTATTTGAAGCCCCATTCTGGCTTTTGCCAGGGGCCGCAATATAGGCAGTTCATAAATATGGCCCATTGTCTGAACGCGGTTTCTGAGACCTCTCCACGGGGATCCTCATCCACATGGTGGCACTTTGTGTCATCGGGTATTTATCGCTTGTGTGATGTCCTGGTGGGGTAGAAAGTCAGTCAGTCAGTCAACAATCAGAACAACTGTTTTAACATAACACTTTAGTTCATAGTTCCATAAATCGATATCTTTACTTATACTTCCAAAGATTAATAGCCTAAACGTGGTGGCTGAGTTTTCTCAAGGCATGGTGTCTGCCTCAAGTGATGGAGGTTTTGGGTTCAATTCCCGGTAAGGGCTATAATTTTTTTCACACGGACTTGGACTTCTGATAATTGCCTTTGTTCTCTGGATAGTGAGATCGGACGCCCGTGTGCATTGTTGCGCACTTAAAAATATCCCTTGGCTGTTTGAAATCGTAAAGAATAGCCTAACGGCACCGCCCGGCAAATTTGGAGATAAAAATCGACCCATA